CTTTCATATATATATATATATATATATATATATATAAGTTTTTTTTCCTATATTGTATTAGTGAACTTGCATATTGTAGAAGAGAACTATCCTAGCGTAGCATGGTGTAGCAGTCAGAGAGTGCCACCTACTGGTCATGTTGGAATACAAAACAATCCCTTAAATATGCCTATTTTATGAGTTCCATTTTTAATTAATTCAATAAATCACAGAAAAAACATTTTTCTAAAAACACACATCACAACTTTATATATAATCAGTTACATACGTTTTTGTTTAAACAATTGTTTATCAAACGACCAAGACATTCATGATATCAATATAATAAATAACCTATGAATCATTATTGCAAAATGCGTCATTAATAACTTTTCACATTCACGTATAGACGTTTGCGTTTTCCCTCGTTTTAGTAACAACTGTGTCACAATTTCTTAGTCATAGCGGTACGCACAATGAAAACAAACGCAGATCATTGTCAAAGGAGCGTTTACATATACCGCAATTTAGGCGATTTGATTTCATACAGCTAAACCATGTGCAAATAGCAACTACAAGTTGTGATGTTAACCATTAAAATGATATGCAAATGTCACAGTCTGACAGCGCAGGTCCATTATAGAGTTTCAGCAGGTCAGGCTGTCCACAGATTAGCTCTCTCACCCAATTACGTTTTGTAACAACACCTGCTCGTTTGGCTTTTGTACTACTTAGCCCACTGGACTTCATGCTAACAAACAATGAAGTACTAATATTGGTAGGTCAGCATGTTAGTACAAGGCTACGTTGCTAGGGGTCTCTGTTGAACACCTGCTCGACACGCAAGTACAACGGCAGACATATGGGCATAAGAGGATAGGGCAGGAGCGGACCATGACTTTTAGATCTGTGGTGAGAGTCCTCCAGTCTGAGTGGCTGGGACTAGCCATTTACTCCAGTGTGTCTGCCAGAATGCACATGTTAAACTCTTGCCATACACACAAACCATAAAGACATAAAACCATGTCGCTAACGCAGCTGGTTTGTTACAATTCAGTAATTCGGCAATTCAGTCTTTTAGAATTTTGATACAGTAGATGGTGCTTAATAGACCTGGAAAAATGTAAATATGCAAATAAGGAAAAAATAATTCAGGGAACCAAAAACGCACTTTGTGGTGATAATAAACTTTAAATCAATAATATTCATTGTTTAATTGTTAATACATTTTTTATTTTAAATAAATATTAATTATAATTAATAATATGAATACTTTTAAATCCACAAATCATCAACATTTACAAAATAATTTATTTTAGAAAAACTAACTTTGCCACTAACGGTGGTATTGTGGCAGAAATGTAGGATGTTCATATTGAATTTTATCATATTATTCATGTAGACATGTTGGCCTATTGAATGTATTGAGGGAGCAATGAAATATAGGCCAAATTACAGATATATTTTTGTTATAAGCAGTTTTGTGCATACAAAATAAATGTTTATAGCCTAAATACCCTAAAGACATTTTCTATACCCACAGTATTTATAGGGAGAAGCATCCGGCTCCCTGGTGTGTCCATATCATAGAATCTGACCCCCTTAAAAAAAAGTTGGAAACCTCTGTTCTACACTTTCTAATCAAAGTTTATCCACCTTTTTCCTTCGTCCAATGAAGCTTTGCGTCAGTTAGAGGGGTATCTTCTGTTGAACTGCAAACATTAATTAAAAAATGCTACTTTTACTACATTTTATACATGACAATAGAATCTTCACATATTTTATCACACTAAAGGCTGGAATACACAACACCAGATAAATCAGAACAGATTTTAAAACACTAGGCATCACACACTTCGTAAATTGTTACAAAATGTCTGTGCCCATCAGACAAGCAAAAGGAGACCATTTCTTGCTTTTTATTTTACACAATACTAATACAACCGAAAAATTTAAATAAATAAATAAATATATTAAACATACATACATACATACATACATAAATATATTAAACATACATAGATAAATATATTAAACATACATACATACATAAATAAATAAATATGCAAAAAGTTCAACTTTATAAAAAAGTCCCCAAAAAATGAAATGGATATAGGAACCATATGTAGTGTAAAGCACATTATACAAATCTGGGATATATAAATGTCAACAGCTACTAATCTACAATGCAAGAGGTTACTATATAATGAAAAAAAAACTTTAAGCACTTCAATGGGATAAGTGCACAGCTTTTAGTCAAACTTCTGCTGACAAAACACAATACACTTATTTTTCCTCGTCATCTTCAGAGGGTTTCTCAGTGTGCCATTTTTTGAAGCAGTTCCTTGAAGACACAAAGCACAAAGCTACATTGCATTTTGTACAGTACACAGGTGTCTTTACTTTGTGACCCAAAATTTTGCACAGGACACAGACCCTCCTCCCACTTGTGGCATCTGATCCGAAATACTCTGGCCAGCATAGCTGTTCCTCGACAGCAGATGTGGAGGTCTCTTGTGTGGATGGCACTTGGCCACATGATGTGGATGGCTCCTTGGCTTCTGATGCACTGGGCGGTATGACAATCCCTACCAGCTCTGCCACAAGTGCCTCTCGAAAGTCCTTCTGGTTGAGAGGGGTCTTGTTCTGAGTTTTCAACAGATGCTGGTGGAGAATTAAACTGTTCACCACAGCGATATCGACAAAATGGAAAAAAAAGGTCTTGTACCATTTTTTGGTCTTGTGTAGGACATTGTAGTACCCAATCAGAGCATCTGAAAGGTCCACACCTCCCATGTATTTATTGTAGTCCTTCGCTGCCGCCGGAATTGGAATTTGGCGTGCTTCCCACACATTCTTGGGATTCCTTACACGCCTAGAAACGGTAGAGCCATCATATGCCTTGTGAATCGTTGAACACATTGAAACCATTTTTGTGTCCATCCACCTCACAAAGAGGATCTTACCTTCCCGGAGCCAGCGTGTGGATCCTCTTTGCGCCCTTTCGCTGAGCTCGTTGGCCCTTGTTCTAGGAAAGCCCTGTACGTGGGAGCGTATCGTGCCACACGCAAGTGTCTTTTTATCCAGCAAGTCCAACAAAAGGTCTGGGCTTGTATAGAAGTTGTCCATGTACACATGGTAGCCTTTGCCAAGAAGAGACAGATCCAAGAGGCGCATCACAGAATCATAACTCAGTCCTTTACCTGTGGCCAAAGAAGACTTACCTTCATAAACAAAGAAGTTCCATGTGTAGCCACACGCAGAATCAGCAAGAACAAAGAGTTTATAACCCCACTTGGTTGGCTTGTCCTTCATGTACTGTTTGAAGCTGATTCTTGCTTTAGACGCCACCATCCTTTCATCCACTGCCAGCTGTCTGTTTGGTTGGAAGTACGTTTTGCATGCTGTGATGATGTCAGTGTACAGGGGCTTGATTTTGAAAAGTCTGTCATAGTCTGGAGTCCCCTTTTTCTGCTCATTTGCTCGATCCTCCTCAAGATTGCAAAGATGCAGGTTCCAAGAGATGGCATGAAATCTAGCCCTGGACATCACTGATTTTGGAAAAGGTAAATTGTAAATTTTTTTGCCTGACCAGTAATCTACAATCGTTTTTGTGCTGAGGAGTCCCATGTAAATAACAAGCGCAATATACAAATATAGTTCCTTCGCCGTCATAGGGACCCACAGGAATTTCTTTCCAGCTTCAGACCTCATTTTTGCATAACTATTTGTGTTCTTCACAATGGTGTCCACCACAGAGTTTGGGAAGAAAAGCTGAAATAGTTGCAAAGGGGAATACATTCTATCCAAGACGAGCTGAGCTCCTGGATTTCTCTTTGGAACAAAATTGGGTAGCACTAGAGCCTCATCCTCCACGCTGATGTCATTCCAAATGCCCATGTCACTGTCCGCTGACATGCAACCTGCAGACCTTTTTCTCCCCCGTGGAGAACGAGATCTTCCTCTGGGAGTTGACCTTGGACTCAAGGAACGTGCAGAGGATGCAGGGGTTCTGGGGGGGTGTGGTGTGATGATAGGGGACGGGACGATACGACATTTTTTGGGGGCTTGGCTCACTGTTTGACCATTCATCATCGTTGAGTATAGACTGTAACACAGAACAAACACACACTGATAAGTGGGCATGCGCAATACACATGTGCATCTCATGCATGCATATGTGAACGCACACTACACTACTCAGACACTTCTTTCTTTTCTTTAGTCTATACTTAATTTTAGGCCGTTTCTATGGTGTTATTTTAATGACAAATGTCAAGGAAGCATTATAAGGAAGCATGTAATGCATGAGCAAGAATCTCTACACTTGCAGGCAGATTTCCTACGCACTTGCACAAAACTGGATGCGTGCTTTCAAATATACAGTGTTCTCTTATGAATTGGCTCTGCTTTTGCTCAGATATCACGTTCACATCCTGAAACTTTGCATCAGCCCTTGCATCTCAGTGAAGACCAGAAGGGTTAAAGTTTTAATTCAGTTGAAGAGTAATCCCGCTAAATGGAAGCAAGCTGATTTCAGCCAATTCTGTAGTTATTTATTTTAGAATTTAACAGTTATTTGAGTTAAGTGCTTATTGTAAATGCATCTATTAAATTATTTTATTTAGTGCATTTGTCTTTTGTTGTTATTGCATAAAGTTCTGCAATAAAAGTGTATCAACATGCAATACTATTTCGACTTTATTACATATGTAATATTATCTCCCCTTGGGGGTATGTCTGTTTTTGCCTAGGGCACCACATTATCCAGAACAGCCACTAGTTTAAGGTTTGACATACTGCATGAATTGTATTTCACTGAAATGCTTGTATTGAAATATTTTACCCATTTTTTAATTCTACCAATGATAAAACGGTGCTATGATGGATTTTGTGAGAGAGGGGCACTTGTAGACCCTTGTAGAGAAAACAGATTGTGTGTATGATTTCTACTATATGGCGATTGTAAATAACGCATACTAGTGACATATTTATAAAAATATTGTTTGTTTGATATTCGGGATGGGGTCATTGGGCCAGTTTTGGGTTAGTTTTTTTTTTTATGCAGACCTGGCAACCCTGCTCGTGTTTGTGAATCGGACATGTGCACAATGTATTTCGCATATGCATGTTAGTGATGGGCAAATGAAGCCTCGTGAAGCACTGAGGCTTTCCTCTGACTGTTTCGGGAAAAGATTCAAAGCTTCGAGAGTGTCGCAGCGCCATCTGGTGGTTAGTAAAAAATAAAGCAGCCAAAAGCCTGTGAAAGACGCTCCGTAGGACGAAGCACGCCCATTTATCAACAAGAGTAAAATCTTTCCGTGCCACGGGCATATGCCACTCGACATCTCACCGCTACATGCGCATGGCAGTGGACCTGTCACCGTTATATGCGCATGGCACTCGACCCGGTGTTCTGACAAACACCGGCACGGCCATACGCGCATGGCAGTCGACCTGTCACCGTTATATGCGCATGGCACTCCAGCCTTCTCGACACGAGCTCCGATGCCTCGGTTCAAATGTCACATCACTAATGCATGTAACAGTTACACAAACGCCATTCACATATGCACGTAAGAGATGTGCAAAGAAGAATGCAAGAGACGCAAAATGCACAATGCGATTAATGCAAGCAACACATGTATAAATGTGCGCGACAATTCAAATATGCATGGAACAATAGATAAACACAATGCACGGAGCAGACACACAGATACAGATATGAAACCCACAAACACGTTAAGAAGTTTAAAATGTGTACGTACGGCTCAAAATCAGGGTCCCCTTTCTTATCCTCATCTGCCTTCGACACTGACTCGTCGTCGTTGGAAGATTCGTTTTCAATACCATTACCAAGCTCTTCCAAAACAGGCTTCTCCTCAAACAGCTTTCGGGCTGCCTTTCTAGAAGCCATTGTCCAAAGACAAGCGCGGGTGAAAAATACTAAACGGCTTAAAAGAATGCTGTAAAACGAGCTCAAACACCCCTACTTATGATAAACGTGCAGACCCGCAAACAAAGCCATTAAGACCAGAAGCGCCAGTCCAGCACCTGTTCTGTTGATTTGTGCTACCCTGTCAGATTTTGCTACCTCTCATTAAAACTGTGGGTAGTACAATTCGACAACGAAGAATGCTACCTGTAAAATTATGGTTTATTAACGTCTACACCTACCACAACCCTAAACCTACCCTTACAGTAATGCAAATACAGTAATTATTTGTTATATTCGCGGTTGTGGATAGAAGGGATACAGCTACAGGAAACCAACAATAAATAATTTTTTCTACCTATTAGATTGTGTTTTATTAAAGTCTACACATACCCCAACCCTAAACCTACCCTTACAGTAATGCAGATACATTAAATATTGTTGTTCAGCGTGAGAAAAAGGACGCAATATTGATGTGCGCATGCGCAGTAAACCCTGGTAGGACAATCTGACGGGTAGGATAAAATGTCAGGACACAGGAAGCTAAATCCAATCCCGCCACTATCTCTATAGCCTAATTAAAACCATAAACTCCAACCCGCCACTAACCCTTAACTCTCTGACACTATAAAGTAATCAAAGATTTATAATATCTGCTCTTGTAAAATATCAGACAGACAGACAGACAAATAAATGAATGAATAGCCTAAATAATTAAATGTTTTATTAGTACTCTGCCATTTTTTTTATTTAAAAAGCATAACCTGATACACTTTTTTTACAAAAGTGTAAAATACTTACAAATTCACAGCTATATCAATGTCAAACAAAATTATTCACTATCTAGACTTTTATCAACAGAGCTTATATTTTATGATATATTTTATGGGTAGCACAAATCAACAATTTATGAGGATCTTAGTAGAAACCAAATTTTTATTGCAAATTTGTTAATAATTTGTCACACGTATGAGATAAAAAAGCCCTAATTATGACACAAAAAGTAAAAAATTTGAGATAAAAAGACATAATAATGCAATTATAATTACTTAAAAATGCGACGTTTGCTGTCACAAGTATGACTTTTGTATGTCAAAACTACTTTTTATTTCATAATTTTGACTATCTCATCATGATGTTATAATTTCATCTTTTTATGTCATCGTTTTGTTAACAGCTCTAAAGAATCATCTGAATAAGAGAGTTGCTTGGGTTATAAATTTGCAAAATGACCTTTCAAATTAAGAATGGAGCAGATATGTGTTAAAGCCCAGAATTTGTCAATTAATACTAGATTTAAAGGGTTGGTTCACCCAAAAATGAAAATTGGCCTGTGTTTTACTCACCCTCAAAGCATTCTAGGTGTATGTGACTTTCTTCTTTCAGATGAATCAAATCGGAGTAATATTAAAAATTGTCCTGGCCCCTCCAAGCCTCTCAATGGGGTAAGCGGGTGTTGGTTGTCAACAGTTCAGAAGACGTGAAATAAAGTGCGTGCATCCATAATAAAACGTCCCTCACACGGCTCCAGAGGGTGAATAAAGGCCTCCTGTAGCGAATCCATGCGTTTTTGTAAGAAAAATATCCATATTTCAAACGTAATAAAGACTTTTTTCTCACTTCCGCTGACTGTCATACGCAGAAGCCGTTCCGGCGGATGACGTAGGATGTCGCCACTGCGTGATTAGTGACGAACGCAGAGACAAAACAAAATGCCGTTCACGAATTAGAAGCACAAAAATATAAGCCAAGAGGAGACTGGTTTTCCTTTGTTAAAGTAAGGAAAATTTGTTTCCTTTACTCCTGCATTTCTCAGAGGCGCGCGCACGACGCCTACGTCCTATGTCATCCATCTGCATGTCTTCCACGTACCACAGTCAGCAGAAGTGAGACAAAAGTGTTTATTACATTTGAAATATGAATATTTATTTTACAAAAACGCATGGATTCGCTACAGGAGACATTTATTCACCATGGAGCCGTGTGAGGGACGTTTTATTACGGATGCACGCACTTTATTTAACGTCTTCTGAACTGTTGACAACCAATACCCGCTTACCCCCATTGAAAGGCTTGGAGGGGCCAGGATAATTTTTAATATTACTCCAATTGAATTCGTCTGAAAGAAGAAAGTCACATACACCTAGGATGCTTTGAGGGTGAGTAAAACACAGGCTAATTTTCATTTTTGGGTGAACTAACCCTTTAAGCTGATCCAATATAACTGGGTAATGCGTACTTATGTCATTCCAGAATAGTTAAATAAGTTTAACCCAAACATCCCAGATATATGTTTTAAAAGACAAAAACATAAGGGGACATTATTTCACTGTATCTGGGAATGTAAGACATTCTGGCAAGAAGTGCAACACTAATTTCCTCAGTTATCTCAAAACTGATTCCAGTGACCCCTGAAATTGGGTTTATTTCCTGTGAGTTTATCATTATCAGGTTATCACACTAAAATGATTGATATTTGCCTAGTTCTTGCAAGATTCTAAAAGCATTTTACTGGAAGAACATAGAAGCTCCATCCATTGATCATTGGTTAAATGATCTGGCACATTATATAGCATTGGAAAGAATAACAGTGTAAAGGGCAAACTAAAGGAGAGTATATATATATATATATATATATATATACATAA